TGGAAATCTGAAGGTGCAAGGTCAGGACTATACGGCAGTTGCATTAACACCTCCCAGTCAAAATAACTTAAATTTTGCTGAGTGGCTTAAGATGTGTGAGGTCTAGCACTAACATGATGAAAAACCACACCTCTTCCGTTAATTAATTCCGGCCGCTTTCTCTTCACTTCTTGCTTTAATCTCATCAGTTATTCGCAGTAGAGTTCAGAATCGATGGTCCTGCAAGAATTGACAGCAACAAATTACATTTTTTTTTATAGGTAGGTCCGTCAAAATTACTCTACCCCACCTAATGTTCTAAGAGGGAGGGACACGTGAGAGGGCAGAGCATTTCATTTACGGATAGTGCGACAAAGAAATGAGTCACCAAATTTCATTGTACGCGTTGGAATTGTGGCCACAGTTAGTCGAATTTAATGAATTTATAATAAATTTAGAATTTGAAAATTTAATGCTAATAAAACAAAAACTTGACCTAATTTGTCAAAAGTAAATGCATCATTAATAATCAAAGCTTGGTATGTTCTTTGCTTTCATGTGACTTTTTTCAAAGGGAGGAAAAAAAGCATTAGGCCTACCCTATGTTAAGCGGTCACAACAAAAACCACATAAATGTAGTGTTATTTCACTGTGTCACTGTCTTCTATATTTAGAGGTAACTTGTCCAAACATGCTCCACTTTGCACGGGAAAAACCAAAATGCTTCTACTTTTTGTAATTTGATACATTTGTCTCTAGATACTTATCCTTTTTAATAATAATAATAATAATACGGGACGTGAGGACCCCATCGCCTACTGGATTCTCAGTGCAGTCAGTCGGCCAGACAGAGTGGAGTCGCCGACCATGCTCTCAAGGATAGAAGTGTATTGCACGTAATGGCGTAATAACGGTGAAACCCGCTCTCGGGGGTAAGACCTGTGATGGTGAAACCGGAGCCGCTTTTCTCGACACCCTCAGCTGCTCACATTGTGTTGCGCCCTGGCCGCATCTTCATAGCCTAACTAGGGTGCCCACAGGCAGTGCTACCAACGAGCAGCAAGTCACCATCTACCAGGCGAAAATTGTTGTGGGATATCTTTAGGTAGATGTCCGTATCTCACTCCATAACCCAATTATCCGGTCCACTAACATCCCATCCACGTAGCTCAAACCAAGATAATCCCTCCCTGGCACTAGTGCAGCAGCTATGGAGGACCGTCCGTTAGTGCATCTTAATGGTACATTAAGGGATAGACCTCCATAGATGCAGATATCACACTTTTTAGAAAAAGGTACTAAAAGGCCTCCTCATGTTGGCTTTGGTCCCATAACGCCTCCAGGGACCGGGAGGTGAATTGCCTAACGCAATTGCTATGGCTATCGCTATAGCTTACGACTTTATTTTGTTATTTCTGACCGCCAAGGGTTTTCAAATAGCTTACACTCATTTTCCTCGATACTGTTGTTACCAATACAAAAGAAAAAAAGAGCACAAGGCGTTTGAAAACCTTCGGCGTTCAGAAATAACGAAATGAAAACGACCATACCATAGCAATCTCGTTAGGCGATTGCCCACCGGGTCCCCATGGACCCCTGGCTGAAAAGCGTACCGACATAATAATAATTTATAAATATATAAAATAATTATTAATATCTGTTGAAATTCACTGGTGTCTTTTCACTTTTTCAAAAGCTTCAATGAAACTGTTCTTTATTTAAATCTAATATTGATAAGAGTTGAAATGAGGCAATTATAACGGTTGTAACTGTAGTTGCTGAACTTTCAGTAGAATGATAAATCTTTATATATGAATGATGTTTTTATGTTTGTTACAGAATCACGCAAAAACGCCTGGACTGATTTGGATAAAATCTGGCACACATATACACTTCTGGACACACCTATTGGTCCACCTTAGAGTTTAGGTTTCGATGGCCCCTACCGAAATATGATTGCTAGATTGAACAAAAACTGTTGATGCAGTTTTAAACCTGATACATTTTACCATCTTTTTCGATCGCATTGTTTTAAATTTAAATTAAATTCAGAATACCATACGACATGGAGCTACGCCTAACAAGTCGGATATACGCCTTGTTAAAGGCAATTGATTTTTGAATAAAAAACATGTTTTATCAAATAAAGGTTTAATTTAATAACGCGTGTTGCCTCCATGGGCATCTACCACAGCTCTCATACGATTAGGCATAGAGTTTATCAACCGCTCTATGAAATTTTGAGGGATCATCTCCCATTCCTCTTCTATGGCAGTTTTCAACTCCTGCATCGTCTGGGCAACTGGCTGACGAGCCCTAACACGTCTTTTTTAAAAGGAAATTTGGGCCCACATAGTCCGCGTATGGTATCACGTGAGGTTCTAAGCACTCACGAATGTACCTTTCAGCATTTAATGTTGGCAGCCGTGGTCCTGTAACAACCTCATGTTGAGTTTTGCCGCTCGCGGATATACCGCCCCAGACAGTCCATGAGCCACCGCCATAAGCAACCCTCTCTTCAAAGCAGCATTGTGCGAAACGCTCTCCCTTACGTCGGTAGACCTTCTTCCTTCCATCATTGCCATGTAACACAATTTTAGACTCATCAGAAAAGAGCACACGGCTCCAATCTTGCTGTGTTCAATTTAAATGACTGCGTGCGAAATGAAGGCGCGCTGTTCGGTGGGCTCGCGTTAGTTTGGGCCCATTAGCTGGCTTGTGTGGTACCATATCGCGTTCTTTTAACCTTCTCCGAACAGTTCGAGCGCTCAGAGATACTCCGTGGAAGTCGCGAAGTTGGTTTTGTATCTCAATGGAGGTAAGGTGACGATTTCTCAAGCTGGTCGTCACGATGAATCGATCCTGCCTTTCAGTTGTGACCCGAGATCGTGGCCTTCCTTGGCGACGAACAAAGCCGCCAGTCTCTAGGTACCTCCGATAAACATTTCGGACCGCAGATCGACTTAAATTAAGTTGAGCACTCACGTTTCTTTGGCTGTGTCCGGCCTGAATAAGTGCCACAGCTTGGGCGGCGACTTCAGGTGAAGTATCCATAGATTATTGATAGAACCTCACCTTAATGTTAAGAATAAGTAATGTTTGTTGCAAAACCAAAGATATCAATCACTTTTTCAAGAATTAAATCCAAGTAAACCAATAAAACCAACTTTTCTTAGTATTCGATTGTTTGATATCAACAAACCGGCTCCAAATTGTCTTTTGTTTCTTTAAATTCTGTGTTCGAAATTCAAAAAAAGACTATTGAATGAAATTGTGAATGTGCCAGGTTCAAAACTGCATAAAAAATTTTTGCTCGACCTAATATAAAATTTTAGCTAGGACCAAACGAATCTGAAAATACAAGGTGGGCTAATAGATGTGTCCAGAAGTGTAGTTTATTATCTATCTTGTGACATAGGATAGTTTTTATCTTGGAATATGTTAGGTTCTTATGGGATTCTCAAAGAAGTAACTAAGTAACGTAATAGTGAAAGTTTGCATATTTGGATGTTTGTTACTTAATCACGCAAAAAACAACTGAACCGATTTTAATATTCAATTTAGTACACAAGGGTATACAGTAGTTTATTACCTGGATAGAAAGATAGAATACTGTTAATCCCGGAAAAATATTATTTTCCTATGGGATTATGAAAAAGTAACTATAAGACGGACGAAGTCGCGGGCGGAAGCTATAGTGTATGTATGAATGTAACAAACAGGTAAATATCAATATTCCCTTTTACTAATACTAAAACCCCAGGCTAAAACTAGCTGATAAAATACAATAACAATACAAAGCATACATAAAGCATTTTCTATGACCTGAATTTTATAGTCCGCATTACCAATTACGTTCGGTTTACCCTTGCTACGTTGAAGATGTTTATAGTACCTACTTATGTATTTTTCTTATATACGTCGATGTTAATTTTGCAAAGTAAGCTCTTTCAAGAATATTATATATTTTGCAGTTATTAAAATATTATGTAGATACCTTTCCCGTCATGCGAATTTCCATCTGCGATCCGAAGGCATCCTAAAATGGAATTGCTGCTTCATGTAATTACTTTACATATCATCTTGGTCCTACTTAGAACCAGAGCTCAAACACAATTTTATATTTTTGTAACGATGATCTTATTGATCAAACCACTGACTAAAAAAATGTCACAGCCGGAACACGGGTAACAAACGTTTCAAAACTGGTATTAGACGAATGTAGCAGGACCAATTCGCATCCAGTATTAACTCCCACTGAACAAGGAAGGTTGGGATCATTTGCACCTTAAAGCAAACGATAAGAACGTTGTCTCTTGGACAGTATAGTAACCCAACAATTTAAAATCTTGACCAAACGCTTGGTTTCAGTTTCTTAACACACCTATACCTATAGAACGCGAAATAAATTCCAAAAATGTTTATTGAAATACTATGCATACACATATAGGGATGACACCGCTAAGTACTTACTCGATTCCTTGGATAGGTTGCTGCGACGCGCTGCCCCCATCATTGGCGATGAAGAGGTAACTAACAAACTCGAGTCTCTACAATTACGCCGCGATGTGACATCATTAAGCGCATTCTACCGACTAAACCATGGCAATTTTTCTGAGGAGTTATTCTCCCTTATCCCTCCATCACCTTTTCTTCTGAACTGTATAAATATTATAAACGCTTATCTGTAAGGATACCCTAGCGTTTACGTCTTATTACGACAACGCTCGAAAGACGCTAGTAAAATTAAAAGTTAAAGTAACAATAATAAATAAAGTAAGTAGTAAGTAGTTTTCTACAGCAGCGGGTTCTGGTACTCGTTCGCGAAAAAAACGTTGAACTAACAAGACGACACTCGTAAGACGCTAGTGTGAGGGGTCCCCACAATCTTAAATAATTCGAGTATAGAAGATTAAATTTCACCTCGCTTCACGTACCTGAGCTGACTAAAGCACATCTACTATTAAAGCAAATTTATAACCAACACAAAAGAACACAGTTTCTATTAGAAAATACGTTACCTTCTTTAAGGATGGTATCGTAAATATGATACGTAGCTCCACAATCTTCTAGAAGTGGCCTCCTAAGAACTCGATTAAGATGATCTCCATCGAGTGATTTTGATCGTGACCGGAACTCGGTAGATTCGATTTTTACACTTTCTTCATTAGTAGGAGAAGGAACAGCGCATGAACCTCGTCGACCTTCACTCGATTCATGACGCCAATGCCCAACTTTCTTCCCAAATGTTCGAATCAACTCTTGGATGGAATGATGTTTATGTCTGTGTCCGCTACCACTACCACTCGACCCTGATCCTCGCCTTTCTTGAGCATGGTGAGGGTGATGATGATGATGATCTTTGGCACTACTAGCGGTTTCTGCTAGTTTATGAGCAAAACTTTTATTGTCGAATCTAGTTTTCACAGGAGCATGGCTTATTTTAGTGTTACTGATCTCGCCATATCGCTCACATTTACTGTATTCGTTCTCTTGTATATCATCCATAGCATCATTATAAAGAGGTGACACAAAGTGTCGGTAATCATATCGTGGAGCTTGATAGGTGTTTACTCCTATCTGGTAGCGTTCGCTATCGCTTCGCCGTCGACTATCCACGTGATGGGTGTGATAGTGATATTGTGACGGAGACCCTTTTCCTTCCATAACATCCCGAAAGTAGCTCGCAAAATTGGGGTAACGATCGCGAGGACTAGAGGCGAATTCAAAAGGACTTCCTGATGTCCCCCGAAAACTTCTTTGAGCATAAGAGCCTCGTGAATTGATAGGAATAGATTTCGTTTGACTTTCATTATCAATGGAGTTGCGAGAGTCCACAGAACTCAAAGTTGAATACCAACTTTCGGTGCTTTCTCCTTTTTCGAGAGGTGGTGTAGATTCTCTCGAATGGTGTTTGTGTAAAAAATGTGTTAGTCCGTGCATATTCACTGTTATTATTCAATTATTTTATCACTATCACAATAATACATTATTTCTACATTTTTAATGATTGCGGGACTGCAAGTACCGTTACTAAAATAACGAATCACAGAACTTGAACTGTAAATCGTTACCTAACCTTTAAAGAAGACTTGGTCAAGCTTTTGAACACAACGCTTTCTTAGAGTAGATAGTAATAATGCCACAATAAAAACATTTTTCATTCTTTTTCTTTCTTTCTTTACACATACAACAGTATTTTCATTTAGCAACCTTTAATATTCAACTGATAAACATACCAAGTAAAAAAAAAAATGTAGTTCTTTGTTACAGAAACCGCTCCAAACTACGAGTTCGCATATTTTATTAACAGCTGTTTTGCATCCTCGTAATAGCGTTGATAAATATAAAATAATAATTATGATAACTGACAAAACTGCTCATGGTCGAAAGAAGTATTTTAATGCGTATTATACAACATGGATATTAAGAACGCGAAGCATGGCAGTGAATGAAACTGGTTCGGAAAGATTCAAGGTCGTTAATACGCTATATCGAGGGGATACTTATACGATTCGACGCGGGAACAGGGGTGACCTTCAGCTCAAACAAAAACTTTTTGGATAGGACGCATGCGTGCATGGGGTTACGCTGTAGTACGTTTTCTTTACCAAGTTCAATAATGCCAACGGACGGACGGATGCCACACAACAAAACATCTCGTGTTAATTTGATATTTGGCAACCAAAAGTTACATCAGGTGATAATATTAGTGTTTTATAGATGAAATTTATATAGCAATTCATGCAGAAGCTGAACACAGAAGCAAACGTGACTTGTCTATATTATTTTCTTATCAAAGGGTCGGGCTACATAATGTAATTTACCGCATTTGTGTTTTCCGTGATCTACAATCCGAGTCCGTATCCCATAAACCGTGATAGGCAGTGTTATAATTCTATTGACACAAAAACAACTGAAAAGTATACTTAAGCTTTATAGAGCTAAAACGTGACTTTTTCGGCTATTTTTACTTCTAATGTTACCCAATAAGTACTTAGATCTATATATTTATGAGCTAATGAATTAGGCCGGTTTCAGACTAGCGTTTTATATGCGCATACAAGCTCGTTTTTGGAAGCGCATGTGGACGCGTATAGAGGCACCCTTTGCCTCATGCGCAACTCTTACGAGCGTTGACGCGCTTGTAAGCTCGTATACGCGCGAGTCGTGAGAGACACCACTATCGTTTCGAGCAAACACGCCGAAATATGTCCATTTACGTGATTTTTAAGAGGGTAATGTAGCACGCGTTTACGTGGCTATAAGTACTTAATATCAAAATAATTATGCACTGTCACACACTTCAATAAAATTTATCTAATCTTAACTGTAAAGATATTTATGCATCTTAGTTCATGCTGACATTATTGAAGTATATTGTTATTTTTGTTTAGAAGAGTAGGTAATTAGATATTGTCAGCCCTGCCGCAAAATATTCATGGACCATTTATATAACATTTTTACGTCCACCATATTTTGAGCTATCAACACTGCCACTATATTTACAAAATTAACTGAACTAAACAAGGTATGAACCACAAAGAATGAACAAATATAATGCATTAATTAACCGACACAAAAACATTAATGTCAGCGAAATAGTATAATTTATAATGAGAAAAGCAATCATATCGAGTCTTAATGACATCAAAACTCGTCACGAACATTCCAGAAAGTATAATTATGCCGTAGGCTAACATTATTATCGATCGCAAATGGACTTAGCTATCATTGATAATGTGGTAGATGGTAAGAAGTTATATAAAATGAGTGCAACTTATGTAATAAATTAATTACAGTAAATCTGTACTCATAAGGTTATCGTAAATCAGTCTTAGTTTCCCTTTAATTATTATAGTTTTATCTATTTAATTTCTTTGGAAATGTTATTGTTAAACACAAAAAAAGGCGAAATACAGTCTGTTTCTGCTGAACAAACCTGTTGCAATGCTTTTGGTCATGGAGTGGATGATTAATAATTTTCTTTATTATTTTGACTGCTCTGCGTTTCCCGGCAGAATTATGCAGAAGTTAATACACACACTCCCGCAATAGCCCCGAATCTTAAAATTGCCACTGGAAAAGGAATACCCTGCTCACGAAGCCGTTGGTGATATTAAAGTATCCTCTTTTTTGGCCAAGTTACAAGTTTAGATGATTTGTTTATGAAAGATTTATGTTGAATAACAAGAAAAGCTAACGTTATTTTTACTATCTTTTAAAATTTGGTGTCACATTACTTATTTAAAACCTAAGTAATTTTAAATTTTAGTGATTCGTATGCATCGTAAGGCGGCTCCTTACTTATGCGAATAAACACGAATAGAGCTTATGTTTCTTACTTAATTCGGTTCACGTGAAATGATTTGATTTGTACATATAAAATTCGCGTCATCTATACGTGATGGTCACACAAGTGTTTCCCAAATCAAAACGACGCCTACGTAGTAATAATATTATTTCCTGCAAACCTATCCGCATCTTTTTAGAGAGTTTAATACATATTGTTAATATTTTCTTGCAAGTAATTACGATGTCACTACTAAAAGAAGAAACTATAATAAAAATACAGTCCCCGTCCGGAACTCCGTGCATTTTTGCTACTACCTCAAGTAATAAACGAATGATATTAGACGACGATAACAGAAATGAGCACATCCGTGAAATAAATTCAACAGTGTTGCATGAACGACTGCAAAGCAGTTCATATGACACAGAGCCAAGCACACGATCGTAAAAGTAATGGCTGGTTAGCTCCTCACATGGCACGAAAAACCTTCATTCAACAATTAGAAGAAGGCCACAGTACGAGGAATCTCGCTAAGTTCTGAGACCCCAGCTACTCGCTTACTTAATAACAAACTGGCTCATTCCATACAAAATTTGACGATGACAAAGTTCTTGTTTGGGCCTCTGACGTAGTTGGAGATACTACAAGTGATGCGTCTAGGTTAGTGAACGCATGCATAGTTTCTAAGCAAAGGCTCTCGGTAGCATGACCTCTGCCTTATGGAAGCTGGTTTACCCAAAGTCAAATAGAGACTTGTGATTGGGACAACATTAAACTTTTTAACTGCAAAGGGATACCAAACTTTTTGAAGTGAAAACTTCTTGAGCGGCGTTGACCCTTTTTTTGTAATGTGTAAAAACTGGTAAACGCGCGTCAGGACACGTGGCTTGATCGCGTCAGTCCTGATTAGGTCACATGTCCACGTGACCTAATCGAAAATTCGTAAGACGGAAACAATAAAATTGGAAAGGTTTTACTTTCAATATACTGGACGAAACATAGCCATATTTTATTTTATCGTATTATAATAATAAATATCTAATTAGGACGTCCAGGTGGCAGCTTTATCGCGAAGAAAATGTATTTTTTTTACAATAGATGTCGCTAAGTGCTCGTTAATGTGATTCATGTAAGTTGATTTTTCTGAGAGATAAACTTTTTAATGTAATATAAACTGTCATGATTGTGAACGAAAGCGCAATAAATAAATATTGTATTCTACCACATAAATGAAAGTACTTTTACACTGATAATTAAAGCAAATGAAAAATTATTCCCTAACCATTCCAAAATATCAAAAATGCACAACGTTAATATTCAAGTTTTCACTTTTGCCGGCACTCCCGGAGTGCAACCCGCCGTTTTTTTTAATCACATTTCATTTCTAATCACTAGGCAGATGGTAAAAAAATCGATGGGAATATTATTAGAAAGTTCATGACGATACCGAATAAAGCGCTTTTTTACAATAAATCAAACACCATGTGATGTGCACCTGCCGACTGTGTGCGAAATTGGAGCCAAAGTCGGCAAGTTGAGTGACTAATAATATATAATTTCCGTTCTAAATAAATAAATTGCTAACACAAACAATATATTGCATAATGTTTATTGCATTATTCAGTTTTACTTTTCTTGTGTATATCATAAATATGATATTGATTTATCATTGTTTTGCGATTCTTTCCATTTTTCGAAAGGGAGATTTATGACAGACCCACCCATACTTTGTGATAAAGTTGTTAAAATAAAAGCGCGAATTGGACAAAATCAATAAAAATAACTAAATATACTTACTATCGAAATAATAAACATGCTACTAATGCCATCGCTTAAGTACACTTTTCAATGTAAGTATATATATTACATGAATAAAAACCTATTAATAAAGATAAGTGTCAAAGAATTAATACATTATCTACTAGTAAATCTGTAAATTTCTTTATTCATTCAACCAATATAATCTTGTCTTTCTATTCTCTACATTAGTAATAAACAATTTGAGGTATCGGAATTATCAACATTAAGCACCCTTATCGCATAGCCTTTTTGATTAAAGAACAATATTTTGATAAGATAGGTTTATGAAATTGTAACTTATTGGTAAAATTGATAGAGCAGAGTTATAATTTATGTGTGTTGAAGATTCCTAATTCGATACATAAAAAGATCGGCCAAGTGTGAGTCGAATTCGCGCACGAAAATTCCGTACTGTTATTTATACAACATTAGACAATTTTAGATATTATACGGAGCAAATAATGGCGAAAAAAATCACGTCTTTTGTATATGTATATTGGAGTCCACCTCAATTTTTTTAATGAATATACAACTGGTTATACGCTGTGTATATTTCAGGTATCTACTTGTTGCGGTTATTAATACAGCGCAAAAATGGCAAAAAATGCGTTTGATGTATTGGAAGCCCCTTACAAATTCATTTTATTCTGTTTTTAGTATTTATTGTTATAGCAACAACAGAAATACATCATCTATGAAAATTTCATCTGTCTAGCTATCACGGTCCATGAGATACAGCCTGGTAACAGACAGGCAGGCAGGCGGACAGTGAAGTCTTAGTAATAGGGTCCCGTTTTTACCCTTTCAAGTACGGAACACCAAAAACGATATGTTCAAGGCTTTGTAAAATTTGAAAATTAATAATTTTAAACGATAAAAACCGACTTCAAAATCAAAAAAGGGAACTAAATATCAAAAAATATTATCCGGTTCATGTCTTTGAAGTCGAACGGAGTCAACTTTGAAACACGTATACTGACTTGAAATGAAAATATATTCCATGTTTTAGTGAAAATTACATCGTCCAAGTCAATAATAAAAAAAAATGTGTGTCAGCTCCGACGGACGGCTGGAGTTTACTCCTTAAGTTCGATAGTCTAACCAGACGCAAAAAGAGTTTATTTAACTTAAAAAAGATTGATACTGTATGAAAGGGTAAATTAACAAATTAATGAAAATAATATAAATATATATTTATTCATTTTTTATTATAACTAATCGACGAAATATTTTACATTAAACTTTTTACAATAGTCAATTTCAGATGTGCATTAATATATCATTAGGAATGTTGATAAATTATGTAATTATTATTATCAGACTATTATCATTTTTTTAAATATTAATTAATTCAACATTGTCTGCATTATTAATTACAGTGAGAAATGGTTTATGGTAACTAAAATAAGACATATGGACGTTCGTAGATACGTGGTTCACGAATCTTGAAAATACTGCATCAATGGTACAAGAAACAATATCTAAATTCAGTTCAGATTTAAAAAAAAATATTAATGTCAATCCGTCATCTTTGTTTATCAAAGTTGCGCGACATAGGATGCACACCAAAAACGTAACGAGGTCATTCATCGATAGATTTTACTCCTCACATTTTTCTCATACCGGGCCAAACTCCAACAAAATGCTCATAAGATGACAACTACTGGGTCAAACTAAATAAGTTTTTAGGTCTCTATAGTTTCGTCATGTCCGTCCCCGGTATTGCTTGGAGAATGTTAGCACTAGACAGCAGTAATATAATGTCGACAAAATAGTAGAATAAAATTTTGAAAAATATTTTTTGGGTTAGCTCCCCTACATGTAACCTGGAGGTGGGTTTATTTTTTATCGTCTACCCCAACGTGTGGGATATCGTTGAATAGATCCTTTAAAATTACTTCAGGGTTCCTAAGACTATTTTTCGATTTAGGTACCGTTTGCGAAATATTGAACTCTAAAGTGCAAATTTTTGTTGTCGAACTCCCCTGCTGCAATGAGCAACGGCAGTTGCAAAATTTAAGGTGACTTATTTTTGCCTCATTAATAAAGAATCTTGTTAGTAAGCGCAGTTCGTATTAAATTACATTAACATTGCATTTTTACAAATACGGTACGACTACTTTATACGTAAATAAATAACAATCAACCGATTGGATGGATTTCTAAGATTAGATCGTCTTGTCATGACTTTATCGTAGAGATAACAAGGCCTTTCTCAAGAATAAAATGACCTTAGCGATCATTCAATGTGTTTAAGTTTAATCTTAAAACGGAGATTTTAATGGTATGACTCTTTAACAGCTAATACGATTCTTTCAAACTTAATAAAACTTTTAACGTTTTAAGAAGTATAGTTCTTAGCATGCTCTATGGAGCATACCACCAAATGGAGAATTAAAAAAAAACGAATCCTTGGCAAAGAATATTTCAAGATGAAAAAGTTAACACTTTTATTGATAGTTACATTACTATTAGTTAATTAAGTAAATGTTGTGTTCACTGAGCTACTGCAGCAAGTAGGATATATAATTCGAATGCATAAGGGGTTCATGGAAATGGGAAATGGATATAGTGAGTGACTTCTCAAAGTAAAAATAGAACGAAAAGTGGAGTTAAATTTAGTTTTAAGATTAAAAAAACCTGAAGGACTATAGGCCATTAACATCTGTAAGCTGCTACCTAGACCTAGAATTAAAGTTAATATGGATGTTTGTCAACATCTGACAGTGTTATGAATACTCAAAGTCCGCACTTGAACACTGTAACTTGCGGAATTCGACCCAGCTGTAGTTATTACTGTCAGGGTTACTAACAGCTAGACACTGCCGATGTCTTATAAAAAATACATATACATATTTCAGTAAGAATCTAATGTCTCTAAACTTCAAAAAGAAAATTTTAAAAGAGTTAAACACTTATCTTTTGAATTTAATTTTACATATTTTTAGTTAGCTATCTGAAACCTGTCATGGATAAAGATAAAATATTATCTATCATGACACCCGCAAAGATAGTCTGAATTTTAAATTGCTACGGCTTTTGAACATTAACAAATATAATAAAGCCAAATCCAACACTATCCTCTGTCACTGTACAAACAAACTGGTAACTTTGGAAGCAGTAGGTATATGGCGGATAATTGTTACTAAAAATATTATTTTTTAACTTCTGCCGTTGCTGTTGTAGCTGTTATTATGATGATGAATAAATACCTATGTAATAACGACGAAAGAATTTGTTATAAATTAATACAAAGTGCTAGGTGAATCACATTTCATTTATGCGATGGTTCAATGTCAGTATCCTTTAGGGGGGTTTTGGGACAATATACATAATAACAATCATATTATTAATTGCATACCACATTGAATAATTCTATTCCAAAAATATCTGCATAATCTTTCAGGATACCAATTGAAAAATGCATAACAATGCCAGTCTATAAATAAGAAGTATTGTGTACACCAAAAATGCATCGTATAAATGGGATTTTATATAAGTACACTAGTTAAGTCAAGACAATAATGTAATACAGAATGACAACAGTATAACGCGCGCCAGAATTAGTGTGAAGACATTAATATTTAAACTCGAAGTGACTACGCAAATATTATTAAACTATCACCGCTATAATGCTTAATTAATCTAAGCACAACAATTATTTACTAACACAATACATAATAAATAAAAAGAGAAATAAATACGTAAATAATCTGTTTCCGTGTTGTTTACGGCTTGTTTACTATGTGGCGCAATGCGCCAGCAGCGTTACCGATTACCATACATGCACCTTGTGCTGTGACAAATGAACAAAAACGAATTGTGCCGGCTTGACCGAGATTCGAATAGACGCATCTAAATTAAACCACCTCTGTGCAGCCGTTTGAACTAGATATATCACTGAACATTTTACTTTGGAATGATTCACTTATCATCGTATTATTTACGTTTTTCCGGAACGCGAGACGCGTCACGCATTCACGATCGTCGTGGGAGTACTAAGTTAGTGAAGTAAGCAAGCAAGCGAGACTCCCAGCGAGAGGGAACGAGAGGGCCGGTCGTAGTGAGGCGAGGCGGCGCGGTTCAGCGTAGCGGCCGACCGCGTGGTTAGCACGCGACGAGTGATTCGGTGATTTAACGCGAGCCATCCCGCAGGCCTATTACGTAAAGAATACCAACTTGCGATCGTGACTGAGCTGCTGAATCGATATTCTCTTTAAAACCGGAAGCAAATCGCAATCGTTGTCTTGGTTCAGGACAATGACGGAGTCGTTGTTCTCTTTTTGATGGCGTTTTTGCACGCATATTGAATGTTATTTTCGTTCAATTCGCAACTGGGTTGCAAGTTAGCTTACAAAATAGGCGTGTCGTACACGACCAGTGACACGTACGCATCCCCCATCTAATGGAGGGAACATAACGTATTCCGGGAAAGCCTCACCCGTAGGATCGATTCCTACTTAGATAAATTACAATTAAATTCATTCGTATCGTCTTCGAGTGCAAACAAAATACCTTATAATAACAATAAAAAGACATCGAAAAACCCTCTCGGCACATTTGGTTATGTACGGCATTTATAATATTAAAACGTTTCTTTAGAAATACAATGAAATTACATGACAGTTTTCGGTTCTATACAAAAATAACACTTACTGCGAATTGTGATCATCCCAAGACGAGTACTTAGTATCTACTAAAATGAAATGGAACAGCCGACGATAATTTTAGAAGATCTGCCAGTATAAAATTCACCATCGAGTTTGTATACTTTTTTTTCTTTAGTACTTATCTATCTATACTTTCATTATCACTAAGGAAAAAAAGATATTATTATTAGATTTTAATCGATGGTACAAGAATATATATGCTTACATGTAGTATGAAGATTACTCACCTACATAACGATTTGATGCCATGCATTATAGAAGCACAATACTAGTACCTAAATAATACGAGTATTAAACATTAATTCACGCTAAACATCCCTTCGCTAGAGAGTACCTAGAGCATAATGGACGCAGTAATATAAACTGACCTTTAAAGAACCAAAATGTATTAACATCACTCCTGTAGAACAGCTTCGCCACCTGCCATTGAATGCCAGATGGTGTCGTTGTCCTGATATGGTAAGGGATTGTTTAGAATATATATAATAATATATAATATATGTTTAGAATTAAATATATTTTCTGTAACTCCCGGGCTAGCACATTTTAAGAGAACTTATTCTTAAAGAGGTAATTAAATCAATACCGATTAGACATGTTTAACTTTAACTAAACAACTTTGTGAGGCTTAACGATATTTGCGTTGCTGTCTTTTGCTGCCATTATGATACATTAACCGCCTTTTGATGATAATTTAGTTTAGTTAATTACCTGGTTATCAAATAAGATAAAAGACAAAAATAACAAAACTAAAACTAAAAACTAACCACCAATTGATAGCTATCCCAAGTATGGATAAAATCCCAAGATGAAGGTCCAATTCGCGACAGGAGTGTTAACCAATAAAAATAAATACTTCATAAACCACTTACCCTATAATTCTGCAGACAAAATCGTATGATATACAGAATAGTTTTTTTATGATATAAGTACATCCTACCTAATGTAAGCAATAAAGCATACTTTTTCTAATAAGAAAATGGCGTGGCGCCACGTGAGGTTGGTGAAAGTGATAACTACATTTCGTCTCTTCTTCTTTTTAGTATTAAAGTGAGACAAAAGTATAGGATTAAAAGTGCTTCCAAGGAAGTTCGACTGAAGGTAAAAAAACATAAAAGTATATGCACCACGCCATGTAGGCGAACGTGTTGTAAAATGTTTTACCGCTCGCTCCGTTGTATGGGCCGTAATTTTGAACTTTCGAACAATGTATACAACCTCCGTAAATGCAGTTTTTGAGCAAATGTGCTGAAAAAGCTTTTGTGATAGTATGTAGTATAAATACGCGGATATTAAACAGAAGTTTAACATAACTTTTGGTCCTGAAGTACGTACTTCATGAAATTATGTCATTTGATACCCATTGTTTATGATAAAAATGCCTTCGTAACTTAATATTCGTCTACCCTCTGGGCATACTAGAGAAGCCCCTATAAATACGTATAATAAAATAAAATATCTCAGTAGAGATGTGTGATGATGATGACGTTGACAAAATATTTTAATTTAAACTCGTGTGTAGTCCTTCTTCTTGTAGCGTTAAGTATTGAAAACTTAACAAAGCAACAAGAAACCTACCAACTAAACTTTAAGTTAAAGCTTGTAAAAATTATGTTGTGACTTGGAATAGTAATAATAAAGAGTTTGAAAAACATAAAACACGCGAGGTAGTTTCGTGCAAAAGACTAGGTTTCAATGAATAGGGCAGTTTGAAAAATATGTAAACAATGAGCTGGCAAATCGTCACTGTTGCTTTTAAGCAAAATATTAGGACCAAACCGTGGCAAATTACCTCACCCCGCCTAAAATTAAGTTTAAGTGGAGTCAAGTGCGCCACTGAAAACTTCAAGAAATTTCCTAAGTTGAAACAGAAGATAAATGTGTGTATAAAACTTTGAAAAGGATTATAGAAATGTGAGAACCGGTGGGTGTGCTTAATACATCGATAAAATATTTAATTAGTAGTATTTCGGAACAAAAGTATGAAAATTGGTGTACAGGATTACTGATTAAAATTAAAAATTATGATCCGTGTCAAAATTTTCTGAAATTTCATTTATTATATCTCTTGGGATAATAGGATGCAGAAAGTTATAGACTTATTGTCTTTTATGAAGTTGTTCATATAGCAGTTGGTAATTAAGCAACAAAGGCAGTATTTTTGAAACTTCATCCCGTCATTTCGTATTTATCTTCATCATTGTGGTACATGCGGGTTAAGCCGCGGGCAATTGATGTCCGGTGTAATATAATGCCAAGTCTTTAGTTAAGGCGATGACAACCCAACACCCAAAGCTCTAAGAGTTTGGCAAAGGCGGATATATTTTTTACTTACTTTGTCAAGTTTGTGGCCTTTTTCGATATCCAGCCTCATAGTTTATTTACTTAGTGTTTATTGAATACCTAATGATTATACTACATAATCACATTACAATCAATTCCTAGAAAATATAGGTATAAGTACCGAGAAATTGTGTAATTTAATATTTTCATACATCATCATTATCATCCGCCTAGTTGTGACCCTAGACTGTCGGAGCACATAGCTTACCTATGAACGAAATAGGGAGATAGGCCATGACCCACCACGCAAGCCAAGTGCCGATTGGTGGGTGCTAACGACTACATGTGCAGCGCGACCAATGGCGTCACGTGATTTCCGAAACACGGAGGAGATTGAGATAGTAAATTCTGGCAATCCATCCTATGACCGGGCATTGCGAAAGTTTCTTAACTCCCACGTTTGCAGTCCCAACACGCAAACGAGCTACATTTTGGTAAAATATAAATTATGATATGGCCATGAGACGCGTATTTACAGTACAGGCGTAGGCGGCACTGATTGATTACAAATCCCGACATCACGACTACAGCACCTCCTAAATTTTCACACACTTGAATGAGTGAATTGACGTTAACGACAGAAAGAAAAAGGTGAGAAATCGTCTGCTAAAAATAAATATTTTTGTTACTTGTTTGAAATGGCTCGGATATACACAGAGGTTCAAGCAAAAAAGTTACATTTCCACTGCAAGAAGGTAAAAGATGAATCAAAGTATGCAAGATAAGGTCACAAAGAATAAAATCATCACATTGACTAGATCGCAGTACAACATAACTGTTCTATGTTAAAAGCAAAAGAAAACGAAATGTTGCAGCAAATCTTAATATTTTTGCTGCTTTAACCAAGTTTTCATTCCAAAACTAAAATGATGGTTTATACTAATATGTTAGACTAAAGAGCAATACTTGTCCTTTTAGTACAGCGTTGTTTTCTAATGCTCTCAATAGTACCAGAAAAGAAAAGGGAGCATATAAGTGTTTTAATACCTGATTATACAGCACAGTTGCACACAAGACCAATAAGGTCTTACTTCCATGATATGAATCCTCTCTAAAAGGTTCTGAAACCATGGGGCGTTCTAAGAACTTAAAATTTATGAAAAGTTTCGGTGCTGGCTAAGCTGTGGTAATAAAAAGCGCATAAATGACAATATTCCTTTTAGGTTCCGTACCCAAAGGGTCACAGGGCCAATCATTATATAGTCTAGGGTTAGTACAATATTATATAATCCGTTTGAATAAAATTGCGGTTACTAGGACATTGGTTGTTTTATTATTTAGCAGCAGCAGAAATAAGCTATCTGTTTCAGATTTTTTTATAAAGAATTTAAAGCCCTCAGAATTTAAAGCGCGGTACAGACCCTTTACATGTTCCATGTTTAATAGATAGTATTTATATAATTTTAGACTACTTAGCTATCTTGTTAAAAGTTGACGGCACGTTCGTATTCTTTAAAAAAATGGTTGTAAGTAAATATTGATTGATTTATTCATTACTATACAATAAAGTTCTTCATTGCTATAAAACCGCTATTAAAGATTCTGAAACAGATTATAGCTAACATAAAAAACATCCAATGTCATAATAAAATACACCTTTTTGGATGTTATAATGTTTTTTTTATAATAACACTCCTTCGCTTTTTAAATCCCTTTCGCGTTAAGGGCTTACTCATCATAGTACAGTCAATCTGTCGAAAAAAAAATCGTTTCAGTGAAAAAAAACCTAAAGGGTAAGTCTTGTTTTTTCTGCTGCCAAATGACGTCAGTAAGCCACCTTGGCAATGGGCATGTTCAACTCGTAGGCGTTTTTTGAAAACCTCAAAAAAACCCTCAAAAAAAATTTGAAACGCATTTTTCTTGTTTTGTATGCATTTTAGAAACTTTTATTTCGACCATAATTGTAGAGGGCGTTGAGTACTACAATTTATGTCATTGTTGCAATCTCGTACAACAAAAAATGCGCATTGTAGGTGGCGCTAAAGTCTCAAAAAAAGTGTTTTTTCACTTTTTCACGCTGAAAATATCATTTTAATGGAAAACTTTAAATGGAAAAGTTGTTCCGTACA